GAGTAGCCGCAGAAGATAAACTAACAGAAGAAGGAGTTAGTAGAAGAGGGCAAATATCTTGAGAAATCACTTGATGCGAAGAATTAATAGTAGCAAAAGGAAAACTAGTTTCAATAAATTCAACATGCCTAGAAACAATGATTTTATTGGTAGAGATGTTGAGACACCTATACCCTTTATACACATCAGAGTAGCCAAGAAAAACGCATTTATGAGATTTAGTTTGCAGTTTATTGCGAGTATAAGACGGAAGTAAAGGATAACATTCACATCCAAAAATTCTTAAGCCATCGTATATAGGTTTCTTATTAAACATAAGTTCGAGCGGTGATACTTGATGGCAGCCATTAGAGGGTAACCGGTTAATGAGAAAAACAGCCGTGTTTACCGCATCAGGCCAATATATATGAGGGAGATAAGCAATGAGATGAAGCGTTCGAGTTGTTTCGATTATGTGACGATGCTTCCGTTCTGCTATTCCATTTTGTTCCGGTGTATACGGACACGAAAGTTGATGCACAATGCCTTGCTTAAGCAAATGGTTCTTGAAGTCGGCGTTAACGTATTCGGAGCCGCCATCTATTCTCAGAATTTTTATTTTATGCATGGTTAGACGTTCAATCTGAGTTTGAAAATGCACAAATGTAGAAAACAAATCAGATTTGTATCTAAGCGGAAAAATCCACGTATATCTCGAAAAATCATCTACAAAAATTACCTAAAACTTAAATCCTTGACTTGAAAGCGTGGGGGATGGACCCCAAACATCCGAATGGATGAGAGCAAGCGGATGTGTTTGACGAGTTTGCGAGGTATCAAACACGAGCTTATGAGATTTAGACGCTAGACAAGAGTTACAAGGATTTAATTTCTTATTCATATTCAAATACAGATTGCGACTAGATATAAGATCATAGATTCGCTTGTGTGGATGTCCTAGGCGATGATGCCATGTATGTGCCGAGGAAGTGGACGCCGAGAGAGCACGCTTTGGTGACGCTGGAGACTGCATAGGAACATTGTATAGACCGTTTCTACATGGTCCTTGAAGCAGGATTTGATGCGTCGCTAGATCCTTCATCACGAAACCAGATGGATTAAAACTAATGGAAATATTGTTATCTCGAGTTAGTTTAGAGATAGAAAGTAAATTGAAATTGAGAGAGGGAGCGTGAAGAATTTGCGATAGGCGCAGCTTACGATTAGGGGTCGGTAGAATGCCAGACCCTGTATGTGCGATAGGTACTGAATTTCCGTCTCCAATTGTGACATTATCGGATCCGTGGTAAGGATATGCGATAGACATATTGTCCATGGAGTTGGTCAGGTGCGAAGAGGCACCCGAATCCAAGAACCATGTTGTATCGTTGAGCTCGGAGTTTGCTGCCAGCGCCGTGTTGTTCTGTTTCGTGGGAGGAACATACTGTGCATTGAGACGATGCCAGCACGTTTGAGCAGAGTGACCCTTTTTGTAACAGATTTGGCAGTATACTTGAGAATTCTGGTTGGTTCTTGGTGCTGACGGGTTGTAGCCTTGATCATTTTGCTGTGATCTTGAGGAAGATGAGGGAGCGTAGGAATTCTTGCCTCGTTGTCTTCTGCTTTTCCCGCGATTATTGAACAGTGCCAGTGTATTATCTTGGGTAGAAGCAAAGCGAGACGCATCGGCCGCCAGATTGATCTCTTCACTCAGCAAGAGTGGATATATTTGATCGAGAGACATCGGTAAAGTAGTGGCACGAATTGTGGTCTTAAAAGACTGATACATTGGCGGTAGGCCATTTAGAATATGATGGATTATGTCTTCGGGATCTACCGTAGACCCGGCCGCCGATATTTGATCAACTATCGCTTTGATCTCTGAAAGAAATACGGTCATGGAGTTGTTCTTGAGTGACACATTATGCAAGGCATTTCGAAGTTGAATGACCTTTGAGCGATTGGTAGCTTGAAACCGAGTTTCAAGAGCTTCCCATATTTGTGCCGTAGAATCGAGAGAAATTACATAAGGAAGAATTGGGGAAGATATTGTAGAACAAATGGAAGCAGATAAATTCTGATCCGTTAGAATCCATTGGGCGTATAGCAGATTCGTGCTGGACGAGCCATCTTGATTTTGCAAGAACTGAGGCGGAGGAGCATTCTTGGAATCAAGAAATGACAAGAAACCATTCGCCCGCAGAGTTTTTAGAACCTGCGATTTCCATATGAGGAAATTGTCGGGTGTGAGAGACGAAGTCACCAGATTCCTTAGGTTGGAGACAACGAACTTCAGGGTCGCCGAGATCGTCGTCTCTTCTGGCGCCGTGGAGTTGCTCCGTTCTTGAAGACGAGAGGAAGCGGAGTCAGTCATGGCTGGGGATCGCAGCCTTCGCTGATACCATGAAGAAACTGAACGAAGGAAGACAATACAGTAGAACTAGTATATTGGAAAGTATTTCATATCATTAAGAGCTAATACACATGACCTTATATAGCTTACAGAGGATAGCATAATAATAAACAATTACAAGAATGCCAGAGAACCTACTAGAACTATACAGACATATTAATAACATTATATGCTTGGTTCTGATATTAACTACTCACAAGATCTTCATATATTCTCATTCTTTTATAAAGAGCTAGTGTGTGGAAGTTCTATGCATAATTGTTTTTTATGTGTCACCGATTTATAAGGAACAATATCAAATTTGATGGTTGATGTCAGGATATTTATCAAACGAAATTTGCATAGCAAACTAGCTGTAATAACGTATGCAGGTCTCCAATCTAGACAATTATAAGATCTTATTTTTTTTCAAAAGAAAAATATAATTGATGATCTTTCAATTTTTTAGGATCAACAAGCAATTATGAATATCTTATATTGATCTAATAGATATAATGATCATAAATTTATTATATATATGACAAGTTTAATCAATGATTAAAATCTTTCATGAAAAAAATTTAAATTGAGAACTGAATGATCTATATCAAGCAAAGATCAAGACAAAAAAATTCTAGAATAAACAAAGAGACAGTGTACAATAATAAAATTAATATAATAATCTTACCATCACTTGAAATTAATGATTAATTTTGTAATTGAAAAATTGACTGCATCCACCCGAATATTCTTATGAAAGCTTTTTATTCAAGAGAAAATGGGACAATTTTTAAGTAATTGGAGCAACCCTTGAAACCAAAAGATCATAGATCAAAAGAATAAAAAAGAAAAAAAAATCCAATTTCTATTATTTTCACTCGAAAAATTCACTCTTTTAGGAGCCCAACTTCAGAAGGATAAAGTATAGAAGAGTTTTTTTTAAAGACAATATTTTTATTGTTTTATTTTTCAGATCTCATTCATAATTTTATCTATAATACCAAAATATTAACTCATTTTTTCACCTTTATCAAATCCCCAATGGTTTGATTATTATACACAAATACATAAATTAGATAATTCATTAAATACACTAAGTGTTAAATTGAAAAAAATATATAAATCTCCATTTCTATTTAAATGTCAAAAGTCATCAAAATCAACTCATAATTATATCTTTAATCAAAATTCTGATAATTTTATTACATCACATGAAATATATAAATTCAAGCTTCGTTTGGGTCAGCTTTCTTACTGCTTTTTAAAGTCATTTTTTACTACAAAATTTTAATTTTTGTATAAGAAAGCCGCTTTAAGAAGCAGCAATAAAGCTGTCCCAAATGAAGCTTCAATTTATATATTTCATTGTATTTGAGATTTTAAAATCTTCATAATTTTTTTTTGAACATTTAGGTCAATTAAGATAAACTAACACACTCAGATTCAAGACCTCTTAGTTTATAGATGATAGCCAAATATCCCAATTAATTTGTCAAGATGAGTTGCATAATATGCATAATTTTAATGCATGAACACAAATTCTCTCTTTTTATTATTCCAATCAAAATTTATGCTTATGATGAAAATGCATTATATGATCATTTTCAACCGAACTGCATACGGTTGTATGCCGTCCACTATGTGCTCCATTCGAACCCTAAATTGCACGTCAAAATTCGGTAGGTAAATAGAGCATTGCACTGTTCACCTAGCCAATTTTATGTGTTACAGGATTTGACAAAGAAGAGCGTGAAAGAAAATAAAGATGATTACCTTCATAGCGAGATAAAGAAGCGCACGAAAGAGGAGAAGGAAATGGAATTCTATTGGAGATGAATTACTACATTTTTGAAGTTTTATTGTATTTTGAAATGAAAAATGAGTTTTTCGATTGGAGATATAAGTCTAAGGGACACAAAGGGGGTATGGATAAAGTAGAAATAGAGAAAGTCAGATATTAACGCTTTGTTTGTTTGAGTGTTTTTTTGCCTTTTCCGTTTGGAAACGGAGAATTTTTTTTTGTTTGGTTCGTCAAATCACGTTCTCAATAACTTTTTTTTTTCATTTTTTTGCAGCTTTGAGAAAGCTTTTTATATATGCTTCTCTGTTAGAAAACTACATTTTCCGAACTAATGTTTTTTAAAACTTTTTTTTACAAAAGCACCAAAAAAATAAGGAAAATTTACACAAACCACTTTATTTCATACTATTTACATATCTAATACCTAAAATATTAATATTACATGCCTGTGACTCATATACAATTTTAACATCAAATATATCACTTCTATAATTCATTTCTACATTCATATCATCCTATAAACTTTAATATTTCATTCCATGCACTCAAATTTGTTCTATGAGTGGTAGTCATATAATATTAATGTTTTAGATGTTGCATACGTAAATATCATGAAAGAAAGTGGTATGTTTGTAAAACTTCCAAAAAAATAAACAAAGCCTAAGAGTGGAAAAAATGATAAACCTAATTAATAATTAAATGCAATTAATTCAGACAGGTGGGGAATATTTATGAATATCTATGGCTTAACGTTAATTTTTTTATCACTCCTATTAACTTCCAGGAGGGCGTGCAGGCCTAATTAACTTCTGTTACTTGAGCGTTACTACAGCGAGCACTATCAGTGCGTACGAAAGCGAAAACCGTCCCTTTTTGTGGTGCTTCACAAGAAAATGAAACCCTACACTTTTCTATTTTGTCAGGGCTGTGGTCCGCGAGTCGGTGGCTCTCTTGTTATTTAAAGCCGCAGATAAGGTCGAATACTTTAAAAATCGAAGAGTAGGCACGTTGCTCCATTCCGCTACTCGGCCGCTCCTATCGGGTTTTGTACTGCAAAGAGAGTTTTGGCTTTTGGAGTTTCTTGCAGAAAGAAATCTGTACATTCTGTCGCCTTGGGTTGTATACTTGTATCAATTTAATGTTCAAGATCGTTGAAGGCAAAGCTTGAAGCAGTTTTCTTCTTAAAATGCAACCAACAAAGGAGGGTAGGGGTGTCTGGTGAATGTCTTTTGCTTTTTAATTTGATGGAAGAATGAATACTGAGTAAAACTTGTGCCTTTTTTTTTGTAGACCGTAATGTGATGCTAATCAAAGATAACAAGCCTATTTGCCTCACAAGATGCTACGAAGATCTTCCCTTGGAAATGTATAGTTACCCTTAATCTTCTCTCTCTCCTTTATGTTCTAGCAGTTGAATTTAGTGCAATGTGATACTGTTTTTAGCAATTTGCTAACTAGTTATGCTATCCGTAAGAGAAAGAGGAATCTCTGTTTTGACTCTTTGGACGAAGACAGAAAACCACATATCAGAATTAATGTAAAAAAAAATGTGACCACGAGGAAGCTTTCATTGGATAATTCTGAGGACAAATTTCTTCAATTTTTACACAAGAAAGACAAGGGGATCTAGAAGGACTTCAGCTGCTAACAGAAAAGTCATCATTCTTTACACTACAGAAAACTGATCATCCCAGACATTTATAATCGATAGCTGATGATGTTACAAGTGATCAACTGAATATAACTGAAGTAACCAAATGTTAGAGGCAGGTTAAAACTCAACAAGCTAGTCCATTTTGAAGCGAACTAACACTTCTCCTCCTTGATTCGAAATTAACATTGAACAACAAATCTTCAACTTGGAAAGCTTTCTCTGTGCCTTCAACTCTAATAAAGTTTAGCTAATTTATATTGCTAGAGTCATTATTAGTAAATTGACTTGTGATAGTAGTTGTTTAACAATTTTCTCCAATAATGTATGTATTTTTCAGAAGTTGGATTCGGAGAAGAAGATTGACAGTGCTGAGATGTGTTTTGGGCTATATTACATCAAGACACCCAAATCCATACAAACCTTAATTGCTGCTCCTAAGAATCCTCCACCTAAGAATCATCCTATTGTATGTCAGTTTGTTGAGAGTCATTTTAAAGTCAATCAAGATAAATAGATTATCATGTGGCATTATAGATTAGGTCATCCAAATTTCATGTATCTTGAAAAGTTTTTCCCCATTTATTTATTAATAAAAATCCAAATTTATTCGAATGTGAAACTTGCCAATTGGCTAAACATACTAGATCATTTTACCCAATTGTTCCTTACCAACCTTCTAAACCCTTTGCCTTGATCCATAGTGATATTTGGGGACCCTCAAGGGTTAAAAATGAATGTGGAGCAAGATGATTTGTGATATTTATTGATGATCATACTCATAGTTTAAAATTGCGCAATTAGAGGCGGCGCGCCTTTGTGCAATTCAGCCCCCAAACGCCTCATTGCCCAAACAATTTTGGGTTCATGTGAGGCTTATGCCTCATAGGCTAAGAGGCGCGCGCCTCTAAGGCGCTATTGCGCAATTAGAGGTGAGGTGCACGCCTCTTCAAACCCGGTCCCTCCTACTTAAAATTAGGTCTTTTTTCTGTTCTTCCATTCGGTTCTAAGCCTACCTGAAAGAAAATCTCCCGCAAGCCTCTTCTGTTCGCGAACGTCCCGCTCGGCTTCGCTCGGGTTGGCTTTCTGCCGCCTCTCCCACTGGCGCCACCTCACTCCGGTGAGCAAGAAGGGTCCGGCCGCCCTCTACAAGCACTCCATTATTGGTTTTAGGTATTTTTTTAGTTCAAGGAAAGTTTTTTCAAGTTATAGAAAATCTAGGATTTTCTATTTTTTGAGATGTTTTGTATGTTTTCGCATTTGTGTATTAGGAAACATGGTTAGGGGTAAGGAAAAGACAAATATGTCATTGCGGCATTACCCTTCTTGGAAATACAGTGTCCAAGTTGATGTAGAAGGCGGCGAGAAGACATAAGTGTATTTTAAATACAATTTTTGTGATAAGGCGGTGAAGTGAGGAGTAACTCGCATGAATGAGCACTTATTCGGCTCACATAAGAATGTAGCACATTATGCGAATGTTCCGGATAACGTGAAGTAGGAAATTATGGCTTATATAAAAAAGAGTACGACGGCCAAACATTTACAACAGGAGCAATTTGATGAAAGAGTCGAACATGGTGCTTACTTTGGGAGCGAGAGTGGAAAGGGCTCTTCCTCCACTATACATAATAGAGGTGCACGGGGTCCTATGGACCAGTACATGACTACTCCAGGAGAGGATAGAGGACAAACACAGATGATGCCTGCGGCTGGTACTAGAGAGGGTCGACGGCAGGTTTGCATGGATATTGACAGATTTTTTTTGAGAATGCCATACCATTTAATGTTGCGACATTGCCGGCCTACTTCAATATGCTGCGGTCTGTAGGGTTGTATGGGAGAGGGTTGAAGACACCTTCCATGTATGAGTTGCGAACATGGATTTTGAAGGAGCTGCAGAACACAGAGCATAGCATTGATGAGATTAAAAGGACACGGATTGAGACTGGTGTTACCAGTATGTCAGATGGGTGGTCTGACATGTAGAGAAGGAGCTTGATTAATATTTTTGTCAACAATCCCTACGACACTATATTTTTACGATCAGTTGAAGCTTCAGATGAGGCTAAAATTACTGAATTCATTTTCAATTTACTAGATGAGATTGTTGAGGAGATTGGGAGCAATTGGTTGTTCAGGTGGTGGCTGACAATGCCAATGCACACAAAGTAGCTAGTCAGATATTGATGGAGAAGAGGAAACACCTGTATTAGACCTCCTGCGCAGCACATTGTATCGATCTCATATTGGAGGAACTTGGTGATTTACCTCAACACAAGAGCGCTCTTTCAACGGCGAAGAAGATCACAAAGTTTATGTACAACCACTCATAGGTCTTAGCCTAATGAGAAAGTTTTCAAATAAAGAAATCATTCGCCTTGCAACCATTAGGTTTGTTATTACATTTGTTCATTGCAAATCATTTTCAATTCATAATGCAAATTTATTCTACAGGTTTGCCACATCTTATTTGACACTGCAGAGCCTGTTAGATGTGAGACAACCTCTTGAAGCAATGTTTACATCAACATAATGGCTTAATTCTGCATGGGGGAGTAAAATTGAGGGGAAGGAAATACGAAGGCTAATTTTAAGTGATAAATTTTGGGCTACTATGACCTATGTTATATTGAGCACGAGACCCTTGGTACAAGTTCTACATTTAGTGGATGCCGAGAAGAAATCAGCCTTGAGTTTTATTTATAATGCTATGGATGAGGCGAAGGAGTTGATTGCACATAACTTGAGAGGAGAGGAGTCAAGTTATAGAGAGATTTGAGATATCAATGATGCTCGGTGGGAGGTATAGTTACACTATCATCTACATGCAGCAGTGCATTATGTCAATTCTCAATTTCAATATTCAGAGAGGAAATCCACAAACCTGGAGGTGAAGCTTGGCTTTTATCATTGCATGGAACGACTAATACTAGACCAGACTGTTAGGGAGCTTATATATTTACAATTTATTCTATTTCGGAATAATGATAGATTTTTTGATCTGCAAGCAGCAAAATCAACTATTGCCAAACATTCCCCAGGTATACTTATTTTTGTAAATGCAAAACACTTTAATATGTTATGATTATCATTTTTTTTTCTTGAAAATAATTGAATGCTGGATCCAATTTGGTGATTCCACCCCTGAGTTATAGAGTTTTGTTGTTAGAGTTTTGAGCCTCACTTGTTTCTCTTCTGGGTGTGAGCGAAACTGGAGTACATATATTCAAGTGCTAACAAAGAGAAGAAATCAACTTTCAACACTCAGAATGAACTCTCTTGTGTATATTATGCACAACAAGAGGTTGAGAGAAAAGAGGTTGAGGAACAAGGGGTTGAGGGATGATGAGGATCTTTTGATGTGTGATGATGTGGCATCTGATAATGAGTGGTTCATAGATGATGAGACAGATTTGCCATTATCAGACTTGCAACTAGAGGATCTAAGTGTGGATGTTTTGAGGGGCGAAACAGATCAAGTGGGCACATCCATTAGTTGCACACCACACATCCCCTAGCACTGCAGCAAAACAACCAAATAAAGGTATTTCACAACTTCTTATATGCTATTACATTATATTTATATCAAGTGGCCAAGTAACATGATAATGATCATTTTTATTGAACAAAAAAGAGAAAAGTGAGTCATATTGAAGATAATGAAGATATGACATTCATAGATATATTTGGAGAAGAAGATTCCCTTGAAGACCCATTTAGTGATGGGACATGATTGGATTATATATGTTCTTTCTTAATTGTACTTTGAGAGTTTTGATAGACTAATATTTTGTGATTTTATACTTTGGGATATGATTTTATTGTATCCATTTTCTTACTTTCCCCTGATTTTACTTGTCATTTAGATGTTTTTATTGTATAATAGAATCTTACTATTATTTACTTGCTAAAACCCTTAAATTCTGATTTACGCAATTCTTCGTTGGTGATGCTTATGCCTCGCACCGCCTCGAGGCTTACACCTCGCCTCACGAACGAAAAACGCCTCGAAGCTTATTTACGCAATTTTAAACCTTGATCATACTAGACTCATTTGAGTTTATTTAATAAAGAAAAAATCTAAAGTAGAAAGGATATTCAAATCATTTCAACTTATAATTCAAAACCAGTTTGATACAAAAATTTAAATCTTAAAATCAAACAATAGGAGAGAGTACTTCTATTCTATCATGAGAGAATACCTATCCCAAGGGATAATTCAAGTAAGTTCATATGCATATACGCCTCAACAAAATGGGGTAGTTGAGAGGAAAAATAAGCAACTTTTGAAAGTCGTCAGATCTATTCTGCTATTCACAAAAGTATTAAAATATTATGGGAGAAGTCATTTTTACTGTTGCATACCTAATAAATAGGTTGCCTATTCAGATACTAAAATTTGAAACACCTAGACAAACTACTCAAAACTTATCCTCATACCCGGTTCATATCATCAAATCTTTCACCTAAAATTTTTGTGTGCTCTGACTTTATTCATATCTGTCCACAAGATAGAAGTAATCTTGACCCAAGTTAAAAAAATGCATCTTTATTAGCTATTCCCCGAAAAAAGAGGTTACAAATGCTTTTGCCTTATTTCTAGAAAAGTATTTGAAACCATGGATTTTGAAAACAACCCATACTTCATTAGTTTGGAAATTCACAGGGAGAGTGTAGGAGAATTTTAAACTCAGGAGTGGAATTCCTTATTA